CGCCAATGATCAACTCCTGTGGACCTCTTCCAAGCCACATGTGCTCTTTTTGGGTGAGGGGCTCCAGCGGTTCCAAAGGCTTAGGCTGCAGGTTAACCTCGATACTGAGAAAAAGATGAACGGTGCTATTATTCGAGAGTCAAAATATACACACGTCATCTTTCTGGATTCCTGCATGCATAGAGTATTAATTGGAGAAAACATCTGTGGCTGTTACTATGGGAAGGAATTCACGAAAGCGAAACTTACAGAGCGTTACAGAGTAGGTTTTTTGTTGGAAAAATATGCAGAGGGCAATCCTTATACACTGAGAATAGTCAAGCGTCACCATTTGGGGCAGCATGGCGGTGAGAAAAGACAAGCTTTACCGTATCAGATTTCAAGTCCGCGAAAGACCACTCTTTGTTCCCATAAATATAGTGATCGGCTTTCTAAGGACACAGGATAAGAACATGGAGTCGATTTTGTATTCCTCTGGATAGACCTAGGCTGAGCCGCAGGGTTCTCAGGACAGGGAGATTTTATAAGGCCATCTCAATCAATCAAACGTAGTGCGAACAGTCAGTTGCAATGAGATATCTAGACTGGCTATCATCATACAGTGTGACTTCCGATGGGCGAGGTGAGCTTTGAAAAACACGCAGCATCAATCCAGGAAGGAAAGATGCGAAGTTGAACGGGGTTGGCGTAAGTCGCAAAAGCCAGGAGCGTCTAGCCAGTACGTGCGATCGATCCTACGTCAGACGTGCGGGCAGTTGAAGCTTTCATTAAATGACAGCCACATGAAACCATCGGAGAGTGGTCTGCCGCAAGAGTGAGTGATAGAGCTATAAGGATTTATGAAACAGCTTACCCATTGAATCCTTGAAGTAAGCCATGCGGCGTGAAATTATACTTGCTTTACTTGCTTTGAGTACCCGAGGCCAAATTTCAAACCACAAGCATCCAGTTTAATTACAGTCTAACGTGCAAGGTCAGAGAAACATAGCGAATTTTGTCGCCCAGGTGGCGGAAGTTGGGGTGATTATGTGCACGTGTCGTTGACAACTTCAAAATTGATCGCTCTCTCCCACGGCCACCACCATGTACGATTCACCACCACCCTACCAACCTCCTCCAGCACCAGCCTTTTCTTGCTCAGGCCCTCAGACTTACACTGTCTCTCCACCGCTCTCCCACGCCCAAATTGGATAACTTCTGGCCAGAACAGTTGCTGGTGTCGCGAATTCGGCTACGGGCCACACGGGCGTTGTAGACTTAGGGATGGTGCGTTAGGCCTGGGAGGCACCTGCGAGGGATGAAAGGGTTTGGAATTCTGTTGGGGCTGGGGTTGAGTTGCTACGACTTCGGAATCCCAGGTGTGAAAGGTGTGGATGTCATGGGGAGGCTTAGGACATTTTTTATGATGAGTACATTCGTTTTTTATTGAGTATTGTCTCAGTTAATGTACGATGCACATGTAGTACAACGCTGGTAAGAAAACGGCGGACGCGTTTGAGCCTACACGGGCTCCTTCTCCTTTGTGCAAACAACCACAACGCACAAAATACTTTTCGTCCGCTTCTTCCTATATATCGCCCTTGTGCTCCTCACCCCTATGCTGTGATTCTGTAGCCACCTCGATACCGCCACCGACATCAACATTAACCCCGCACACCAAAACCCCCAAACCACAGGCGTCACCTCCCACGTACTCGACACAAACTGGGTCGTCGTGGAGCTCACGAGCACGCAGATACACTTAGTGCGTGTCCTGGCGAGCAAGTTGGGGTATGATTGGGCATCTGGAGGCTTGTAAGACGCGTCTGGATCTGTTGGTCTGAGTTTGTGGCCAAAGGTCTTTTCTTGTTCTTGTCCCTGCGTTCACTGGCTTGATCTGTTGTATTTTCCAGAGAAAATTTTCTCTTATTGACCTGGCTTCTTCATCCCTTCCATCTTGTATTCTGTGCCCGGTACAGTTCAAAGTCAATCGTGCTTCTTCTTTTAAACTCTTGTTGAGCAGGCCAGAAGTAGACTGTGTTGTCGTTACGAGCTGTTATCGTGGCGCAAACGGTTGTGTTACCATTGTAGTTGCTGAGGCTTTGGAATCAAACACTTCTTGTCCTCTCTTGTTGCTTCTTGTTGAAACTCACTTCGATGTATTATTCTCGTGGCCCACGGACGCACTTGGACATACAATGGAAACCTCGCTACGATACTTTTTGTTTTATGGATGGTTGTCGATTGTAGGTCCCCCCACCTTGTATTTTGCGCAAATTGTATTTCCAAAGTCCATTGTTTTTCGCGTTGTCCTTCCCAACTATTGTCGAGATGATCAAAAATGTATCGCGTTGTCCTTATCATCATTTATAACCCTCAGTGCAAGGCCTTTACAACATAACACTATCACACCTCTTCCTCGAGTTTCCTGACAGCGATGGAAAAGTTCCAAGTAATACCGACAGCGATGAAAAAGGTGAGTCCAAAATTTCTCAACACCGTTCGATAACAGAAACTGATAAAAAATATAGAAACTCAACATTTTCAAGCGTCTCAGACGAATCGCCTCGAACGCCCTGGCGGCGCGCACATCCAATGTCAAAGAGAAAATAGCTGTGAGTTCAAAATTTCCGAGGACTTTTTGATAGCATAAATTTATAACAATGTAGAAACTCAACATTTTCAAGTGTCAACGAAGCGCTGCAAACGCCGCGATGAAAAAGCAAGGCAAACAGACGGAGTTGCACCAGGTGAGTCCGAAATTTCTCGAGACCGTTGGACAACATTAAACCGGTAAAAATATAGACACTTTCAGCCTTGTCGCTCGCCCCGTCAGTGCAAGATTCAATTGAAGAGAGAAGAAAATTCCTGTGAGTCCGAATTTCCCAGGACCGTTCGACAAAAAGAATTGATAACAACTCATTGCTTTCAAGCTTCAACCATTCGACCGGGTCACTCGGTCTTGCTTCATCTCCACCTCTTGTCAATCCCTACCGCACGATATATAGGGTCCTCCGTAATGAGGGACACGCAAACACCATCTCCATTACAGCCACCACTTGTGCAGATGGTAACTTCAAACAGGTTGACATTTCTGAGCAAATGGCCCAGGCTTTAAAAGACAATGGAATACCGCCAACAACAGTTGTGGTTACGTGGGACATTGCTTCTGGACTACAACCAGAAGATTCTGAACTCAAAGAGGTTTTACGGAAACTTGCGTCTAATGTTTCTTTGTTGGGGACTGCGGATTACTTTCCATTTGGATCCTGGGAATCACTGATGGTCTCGCTGCCATTTCAAGCCCTTCCATATGACCCCGATGGGATTCTAACACTCCCCGTGGAATCGCTCACTAACCTACGTGAATTGGTTTGGCACTGCCATCCGACAAATATGTACAACTCCTGGTTCCCACTTGATTCAGCTCTCCTTCAGAAACTTGAAATCCTTTACATAAGGACTCACATTCCTGCCGAAGATTGCATAAACATTATGTGCAAAGCCCCTAATGTCAAAGAACTTTGGATTGACAGTGTAATCGGACCATCTCCTACGACAGTCACCCCCAATGAGTTTTGTCTCCCACTTCTGGAGGAACTCTGGATCGCCGCATATACTGACGTAACATCAGTACTCAAGGCCTTCCAATTCCCAGTACTTCGCGATACTACTCTTTGGCTGCATGACAAGAACACGAGATCAGGCATTCCAGACCTGGCAAACCTGAACTGGGACTCTCCTGGCATCATCGCAGTGGGTGGATCGCTGTCCGATGAAGATCGCGCCCGAATCATATCTCAATGCGGCCCACCCAATCGTAAAATGTTCTTGCCTCTTGCAATAGAATGGTTGCATAAACTCAGGGAACCAGACATGGATGACTATCAGTAAGTCGGTTCCTATGTATATTACCTGGTATCATCTAAGCTTATCTGGCCTCGAAGTACACGAAAACGTATCATGTGGATGCCACGGTCGATAAGCTTCTTTATTGAAGAACGGAAAAGGAAGAAAGATGGAGACGACAATGCCAATGGAAATATTAACAATGATGACGCAAAGAAAGATGAAGGTGATGTCAATGGCACTGTTGGCAATGATGATGTGAAGGAAGATGAGAAGGAAGATGGAGGTGGTGTCAATGACAATGTCGGTAACGATGGCGTTCAGCATGAGGACCCTTGAGCCCAACCTACCAATAATTCCGGCACCCCATGTCTCAATTAGCACAATTTTAAACTAGTCGCATTAACTTACAGGTCGAATATAATTGAATGATATTGAACATGTCGGAGTTTGCGATAAACAATTCTAAATCTTGTTCTCTTCTTTCATCGCTTACAGACAACACGAGACTCTTCATTCATTATGTCATACAATTGACTCTTCCCAACGACGCACGTAGATTTCATCATGGACTTCAAGGATATCGGCGCAGAGATCCCACTACGAAGAGCCGAAAAGTCCGTCGTGAGTAGGATCGATAGCCTATCTGAGTCATCTCCCCCATTCTCATCTTTCCCCTTCCTCATTAAAAGATCTATTCACGACACCTATGGATATGGCTTTGTGGTGTAGGCACGGCGTCTGGCAGCAATTTGTGTCGCATTGAAGTTCTTGAAACCTAGGTTCGCTTCCTGGCTGGGCCTAGTATCGCCTCGTCAAATGAGAAAACTTTCTAGAACTTGCTTTCACACACTCTCATGGTCCTGAACTCCTGAATCAAAGGTAAATATATTATTTTGACATTTCACGATGGTGCACGTCGTCGCCGAATCGCCAATTGAAATAAATTGATCGGTGATCTCGCGTTTGGACTCTCACCACCACGGTTTAGCTATCACGACCGTCGTTGTCGTTGAAACAACGTTAAGATGCTGTGGCTGCTGTGAGCTCAGATCGGTCACTCACTCGCGCCTTGCGCGGGCCCTTCTCCTCTTCAGGCTCCCTCCCTCTCCGCACCTGGACTGTCCTCCAATTCTTCGCGTCACAGAGTGATTGAATGTGTACAAAGGTATGGCTCTGTAGTGTAGCGGTCATCACTCAAGATTCTGATAGCGAAGCCACATCTGCGTCTCGCGTTCTTGATTCTTGAAACCCAGGTTCGATTCCTGGCAGGGCCTTTCCGGAAAATGCTGCAGTTTTTGTCTTGTCTTGTTTTAGTGGTTATCGAGGGTCGAGGGCCGACGACGACGCCTAGCTTCAATTGCGATTGGAGTTTTTTTTTAGAGTTTGGAGTACTCGTTTCTTTGAACCCGGGCGAGTCTCACCACCGTGCGTGACCACGGCTACGCAACCGGGTACCACGACCGTCCTTGTCGTGAATTTCCAGTATGACATTATTTATCGTTCTTTATTCGAAGCACAGGTTTGACATTTTTGCCAGAATGCAGGACACAGAGGGCGTCACATAGAGCACAGAACTGAAAAATCACAGTTTTACTTAGAATGCAAAACCTAGAATGTACATTACCGCTTTTGTTGTCTCCAGAATGCAGAACACAGAACTTAGAATAAAAACTTAGAACATAAATTACAGTTTGTACTTGTTTTGAATACCGAACACAGGTTTAGAACTCAAAACACAGAACTTAGAGTACGAACTTAGAACATTACAGTTTGTACTTGTTTTGAATACCGAACACAGGTTTAGAACTCAAAACACAGAACTTAGAGTACGAACTTAGAACATTACAGTTTGTACTTGTTTATACCATTTTTAGAATGCAGAATGCAGAATGCAGAATCAGAACTTAGAACTTAGTCTGTTACTCTTTGATTTTATTTTTAGAATGCAAAACACGACACAGATCATTTCCAGTATGCAAAACACAGGTGACAGGTCACAGAACTCGGAACTGAACTTATGCCAGTGTTGGAGCGCCCAGTGTTACTATATCAGGTAACCTGCCTTTTATAGTATCTCTCTATGATCT